TCAGCATTCGAATGAGTACATTCGTGGAGTGACACTGAGGTTTCTCTGCCGGATGAAGGAGACTGAAATAGTGGAGCCTTTGACACCATCAGTGTTGCAAAATCTAGAGCATCGCCATCCATTTGTTCGTAGGAATGCAATTCTGGCTATCATGTCGATATATAAGCTTCCACATGGTGATCAACTCTTTGTGGATGCACCTGAAATGATTGAGAAAGTTCTATCAACAGAACAAGATCCGTCTGCCAAGAGAAATGCATTTCTAATGCTCTTTACCTGTGCTGAAGAACGAGCAGTGAATTATCTTCTGAGCAATGTTGACAAGGTTTCAGACTGGAATGAATCACTTCAGATGGTGGTGTTGGAGTTGATTCGAAGTGTGTGTAAGACTAAACCAGCAGAGAAGGGGAAATATATTAAGATTATTATTTCTCTGTTAAGTGCCACTTCTTCTGCAGTTATCTATGAATGTGCTGGGACACTTGTCTCACTCTCATCTGCCCCTACTGCTATTAGGGCTGCTGCCAACACCTACTGCCAACTTCTTCTTTCTCAGAGTGACAACAATGTGAAGCTTATTTTGCTTGATCGGTTGAACGAGCTAAAGGCGTTGCACAGAGAAATCATGGTTGAGTTGATAATAGATGTGCTTAGAGCACTCTCAAGCCCGAACCTTGATATCCGGAGGAAGACTCTTGACATTGCCCTCGAGTTGATTACTCATCATAATATTAATGAGGTCGTTCAGATGTTGAAGAAAGAAGTTGTGAAGACACAGAGTGGAGAGCTAGAGAAGAATGGAGAGTACAGACAAATGCTTATTCAAGCAATCCATGCTTGTGCAGTTAAGTTCCCTGAAGTTGCAAGCACAGTGGTCCATCTTCTAATGGATTTCTTGGGAGATAGCAATGTGGCTTCAGCTCTTGATGTGGTTGTTTTTGTTAGGGAGATAATAGAAACAAATCCGAAGTTAAGAGTTTCAATCATAACCAGGTTGTTGGATACGTTCTATCAGATCCGCGCAGGAAAAGTTTGCCCTTGTGCTCTCTGGATTATTGGGGAGTATTGCCTGTCACTATCGGAAGTTGAGAGTGGGATTTCAACCATTAAGCAATGCCTTGGCGAGTTACCATTTTACTCTGTTTCTGAGGAATCTGAGCCAACTGAGACATCAAAGAAGATTCAGCCAACCTCTTCTGCCATGGTGTCCTCCAGAAAACCTGTGATTCTTGCTGATGGAACTTACGCTACTCAGAGTGCGGCCTCTGAAACCACATTCTCCTCACCAACAGTTGTTCAAGGATCACTGACTTCTGGAAATCTGAGAGCACTGCTATTAACTGGTGATTTTTTCCTAGGAGCAGTGGTTGCTTGCACGTTGACTAAACTTGTTCTTAGGTTGGAGGAGGTTCAGTCATCTAATACTGAAGTGAACAAGACAGTCACACAGGCTTTGCTGATCATGGTTTCTATGCTGCAACTTGGTCAATCTCCTGCTTCTCCACACCCTATTGATAATGACTCATATGAGAGGATCGTGTTGTGCATAAAATTGCTTTGCCATAGGAACGATGAGATGAAAAAGATATGGTTGGAATCCTGCCGCCAGAGTTTCGTGAAGATGATTTCTGAAAAACAGCTTAGAGAGATGGAGGAACTTAAGGCAAAGACCCAAACAACTCATGCTCAACCTGATGATCTCATTGACTTCTTCCACCTTAAGAGCCGGAAGGTAATATTACTTTCTAAACCATCACTTGCTTCATTGTTTTTTTTTATTTATGAATTTCCCTTTGTAATCTGTTCAGTTCTTATATGTTGGTGTCTTCTTTCTTTTACAGTTCAAATCTGATTTTTTCATCTTCTCATTTTCAAAGAGGGGGAAATGAATGTTGATAGTGGCTGGTTTATATCTGTTGATATTGTTAAGTATTACTTTCCAAACTATCCTTTGTTTCATTGTTTTCTAATTCTTTGGAGGTCTATTTAGTTCTTGCACGTTGGTTTCTACTTTCTTTAACAGTTAATTTCCGATTTTTTCATTTTCTCGTTTCGTCATTTTCTAAGGGGACAGCAGAAACTGATAGTGGCTGGTTATATATATTTATTTCGGTGAGTAGATCAAATAGCTGATGATAAGTTTCTTTCAGGGAATGAGTCAACTTGAGTTGGAAGACCAGGTACAAGATGACCTAAAGCGTGCAACTGGAGAATTCACCAAGGACGAGAACGACGCTAACAAACTCAACCGCATTCTTCAACTCACAGGATTCAGTGATCCAGTCTACGCTGAAGCATATGTAACAGTCCACCATTATGACATTGCGCTCGAAGTTACGGTTATCAACCGGACTAAGGAAACCCTTCAGAATCTGTGCTTGGAGTTAGCTACCATGGGTGATCTCAAACTTGTTGAGCGTCCTCAGAACTATAGTCTGGCAGCTGAAACAAGCATGCAGATAAAAGCCAACATCAAGGTATCGTCGACAGAAACTGGAGTCATATTCGGGAACATCGTCTATGAGACATCAAATGTTATGGAGCGAAATGTAGTGGTTCTTAACGACATACACATTGATATCATGGACTATATATCTCCTGCTGTTTGCTCAGATGTTGCTTTCAGAACCATGTGGGCTGAGTTTGAATGGGAAAACAAGGTAATTCACCGAAACCTTTTTACACTTTTACCTTCTTTTTCTCTCGGTTAAAGGTGAAACATTTCTAATTTTTTCCATGACAGGTTGCTGTGAACACCACGATTCAAAACGAAAGAGAATTCCTCGACCACATTATTAAATCCACAAATATGAAGTGTCTCACTGCCCCGTAAGTCCAGATTCTTCTTTCTTCCTTTATAAACCCGAATCTTGTCTTTCTAATGAATGCTTCTCTGTTTGCAGATCTGCTATAGAAGGAGAATGTGGATTCCTTGCAGCAAACTTATATGCAAAAAGTGTGTTTGGTGAGGATGCTCTTGTGAATGTGAGTATCGAGAAGCAAACCGATGGAGCTCTAAGTGGCTACATAAGGATAAGGAGCAAGACGCAAGGAATTGCTCTAAGTCTTGGAGACAAAATCACCCTCAAACAAAAGGGTAGTAGCTGAGGTTAGTGAAAATATTATTACGTCTTCTCAAAACGTTATCCAATTTGAATTCATAATTGTTGAATCCTCACACCCCTTTACCGTATAATTTCCGGTACCATTCCAATTGGACTCTCACAGGCTTGGAACGGTAATGCGCGAGGTAAGAGGTTTAGACTACGTACACTTTCTCTCTTGAGCAAATTGTTTTGTTGGTTGAATCTGTTTTACTATATGGAGGGAGGGAGAGGCGTTTAATCATATGTAAAGATTCATTTCTTATCACTCCGTAACCGGTATAGTTTCCGGTTTGGTACCGATGGATTCTTCCTCATACGGCTATGTGTGTTTTTCTTTAAAGTACTTGACGATTTTGTTTCTCTATTTGTAATGCTTTTTTTTTCTTATCTTTCTATAATGTCGTTTGTTGAGGAGATTAAACCGTGATTTTCTTACAATGATGCTTTATCGATAGTAGAGTCTCAAAGTTAGACTCTCATTAGTTCAAAATGATCTCTACTGGTCAAAAGAGTTTTTTTTTTCTCGTTTTCCATGTGCGTTCTAGTTTTTTTTTTATCGTCTACTCTAGCCTTATCCGTTCCATGCAAAAAATCACTTTTTGTTTGTTTTTTTCCATTATCGTATCACAAATGTTTAGAGATGCAGTTAAAAAAAAAGCAAAGCAGGACCACTTTTGATTCCCCCTAAAAGAAGAAGCAGGACCAGTGGTAGTTATAGTGAAGGATAATTGATTGTAGTTACTAGTTAGAAGGAGAATAATTGATGTCAAATACGTATAAAAGACACCTTGTGAATATTTGTTGAAAGGGATAGCTTCAATCCCTACCAGAAATAGATTCGAGTATCTTGAATTTTAAGAGGTATATAATCAACAAATTGATGCCGGAAATGGTAAAATAGTATGCCAAAAATCCTTAACTTTACTTAAAAAGGAAAAATCCTGAATTTTATAGAATATTCAATTATCAGTCGTCTAAGTAGTTGGAACAACATGCCTCATGACTCATGCAACGTCTTTGATCAGAATACAAAAATTAAGGAAACCTTATCCTTCACATTTCACCTAACCTGACCTAACCTAAAAAAAATTTATATGAAACAATGTGTTTTGATTTGTCCATGAAACAACGATATTCACCGAAGGTTACATACAAGAAACATAATCAAAATGCTTAAACTAGTTGAGACTTATCAAATCTAATCTACAAAATAGTCAAATTAAACTTACAATAATATAATACAACAAATTTAACATTTAATTAATCCAATTATCGATCATCATCTTCAAAACTAGTTATGCAAATACAGCTCTGAGTTTGAACCATAAAATCTC